CGGTCCATTGACGAATCCTTTACTTCCCAGAGTCGGAGGAAGTCGCCGGAGGAGTCGAGGATGTTTGAGGGGCCGGAGGGGGACGGGGTGGAATAGTAATTTTGTTGGTGGGTAAGGGTGCTCGAAGGAGAGGGAGGGGTTGGGCTTGAGGGAAGGGGAATCGTCGGAGAAGGTGATGATGTCGACGCGGTTTTTGAGGTCTTCGATGTAGCTGCCGACGGCGATGCGGCGGCGGTCGGCGGCGGAGATTGCCATGGCGTAGATTGGGTGGGAGAAGTCGTAGGTCACCACGTTATCGGCTCGGGGGTGGGAATCTTGTGTCGAATTGTCCATCGCCGGATTTGAGAGGAATTACGGTCGGGATTTAGGGTTTCTGTTTCCGGTGAGAAGTTCGATTTACAGTTGAGGTGATTTTGTAAATCTCGACTGTGTGAGAGAGGAGAGAGAATGGTGGGTAGGATAGTTTGACCGACGGCTAAAGAAGGTGGGACACTTGAAAGCGTGTTGTTGACTTGACTTTTGAAGAAACTAAGCGCCACCATCATTTAATGAATCGCGTTTTTATAAATCGTAAAGTAATATGAAATGATTTGGGCAGCTTACTTCCGAGGCCCAGTGAAAACTATATAAACGCATTTATTGATAATTTGATATACATTTATTATGATTGATGGGCCCAAGCTCAAACCCTCTATCGACAAGCATATATAGGAATACAAACCAATGCCAAATTGAATAAATATAATAATACAAAGCTTAAGCTGGTTAAAGACCTAAACTGGCTATAATCTAAATAGTATTCGAAGAAATCATAATTAAAGGTACATAATTCATAATTCTCGAGCACCATCTTGAATTCTCTGAGTTTATTATGCAAAGTTGACTTGAGCATTGGAGGGTTTCTGCGTGGACCAATCGCGGCGCCTTAACGACCTTTTGTGATGCAAGTAGTGCCTACATGAGGAGTCGAGAAATATGACGTGGAATCGTACCACATCAATAGTATTAGTAATTTTATTTTTGAGACATAAAAATCAGATTGAAACTATAATTTCATACGTGAATATGATTGTTTAAACAATTCAAAAATAATTAAAAAAAATATATATATTTTCTGAAAATTGGGATGAAAAAAAAAAAGTAATTGTAGAAATCGAAGTCATGGTTTGAGCCCAAAGCGCACGTTAGTCACTGTCGATAAAGCATTTATAGCTCTCCTTCATTTAATATTGTATTGGACAAGCCCACGTTATGCCGTGTTAAAGATTGCCACAAATTTAAACGGCCCAAATTCAAGATTTCACTAATGTATTTTGCCTTTAATTATTCATAAATCATATATAATATTCTGGACAATTTTTTTTATGTGATTTAACTTTAGAGATTGGAGTCCCTTGACCCTAAGTCTTCAAAAACCTATTTATCTAGCATAACGTCCACGATAAGCTTGACACATAATAATAACAACAAAAATTTGATGCATATCTTGTGAATACAAAAGTATGCTATCTATTATTATTATTTTTATTGGATATAGATTGACTATGACAAGATTTTTATATTCCACACATACGTGATATCGTCCATACAGACTTAATCTGAACAAGTAAAGTGAGTTGCACATAAAAGTCCAAGAAAGGCGACCCAAAATCAGAAGCTCAATCCAGTTAAAAGAAATACGAAACCATATCAATAAGAGAATGTTGTTTCCGACCTTGCGATGTATGATGACACGAGGTAAGGTCACAACGTGCTATGGCGAGACCTCAGTAAACGAGCTAAGTGACCTATTTAATCTAAAAATCCATTGAATGCGATAGGTCCAAATTAGTAGGGAATTAGCTAGGTTAAACCCTAACGAAGGTGACATCTCAAGACACATAAATACATCTGTAAATAGGGGTCACTAAAAAACTTTCATACACAATGCTTTTCTACTAAACAATATATAATATACACTTCAAATCATCTTTCCTACTTGTTTATCGAAACATATATACCTCACGATCCACGACGTTGTAGGCACGGCGGCCAACCGAGATTCCGACGACATAAGCTAAAGACAGACGTAAGTAAAATCAGACTGACATCACCAACCTGAGGAATCATATAAAATTAGCTTTAGAATTTCGAATCATATAAAATTAAAACTTCAAATTTTGGATATACTTCACATCATCAGCCCAGTGGATATACTCCACTCCACTAGTAAGCTAATTGAATACACAATCACACATTTGCACAAAAGGAAAATTATCAATTAATTAATTAAAAAAGACTTAAATATAATATAATCAAACAATAATTTGCGTTACCTCACAAGTCACTTAAGGAAGGTGATAACTGATAAGAGAAAACACATTCCCATGCTTTACCGTTGTGATAATCTAGTTTATATTGTGGGCCTAATATTGCGGTTCGAATTATGAATTAATGACTAAAATTAGTGGGCCTAACAGTAATTAACAGTTTTAATGGCCCGGATCTATTTGGGTTGGGTTATACGGCCCGTCAATGTAATTTCATTATAAAATGACTCGGGCTGGAAGTCAACTTGTAGTCTTGTACTCTACGACAACATATATATTAGTATATACTAAAAATGTATCTATATATACACTACAGCATCTCACGAAACATCTTATAATTAATCTCAGTGTCCTAATTAAGAATAAATATATTTTTTTTATAATGGAAACTCAGTTAATCTCCAATGGGTTAAGATACTCAACCCTGCCACGCAGCTACGTTCGACCCGAACCCGACAGACCCAAACTTTCTCGATGTACGGAGAGTACCTCGAAAATCCTATGATCGATCTGGGATGCGGCGACAGAGACTACATAGTCCGACAAATAGCACATGCTTGTCATCAATATGGCTTTTTTCAGGTCATTATTTTTTAATTAACTAATATTGTTTATTTAATTTCCACTTAAAGAAAAAATAAATAATAATAGTAGCATAAATATATTATTATTGATTGCATTATTAGGTGCAGGTGATAAATCATGGGGTGTCGAAAGAGACGATGGAGAAAATGCTGCAAGTGTCAAAGGAATTCTTCGATTTGCCGGTGGAAGAGAAAATGAAATTATACTCGAATGATCCGACGAAGACAATACGATTGAGCACGAGTTCTAATCTGCAGAAGGAGAAGATTCATAATTGGAGGGATTATCTTAGGCTCCATTGTCACCCTTTGGACAAGTTTACTAATGAATGGCCAACTAATCCCACTTCCTTCAAGTAAGATTTTAATACCTCTCTTAATTACAACATATATATATATATATATATATATATATATATATATATATATATATATATATATATATATATATATATATTATATATATATTCCTTAATTTTTTTTTTCAGTATTTCTTATATACAAAAATATATTATATATATGTATATATGCTCATGCAACCGTATTAAATGACATCGTCATCACCATCAATGTATATTATCTCATATATGTATGGTTTTGAATTATTACATAAAAAAAATAAAAAATTAGGTTAGCAAAAGCGCGTAAAATGATTCTTGAACATTCTACGGGCACATCGGATACGTAATTAATGACGTAATAATATTAAATAATATACTAATTCAAATATCGAGTTCTCATTCATTTACCACGTGTTCATCCATGAAAAATGTAATTTCACGTGCTGTGTAAAAGCGGCTGTTTTTTCTGGTCCCAGTTGACTCACCCTAAAGCCATATTGGTAATGATTAATCCTAATTCGTATATACCTTATTTTTTGGCGAAAATAGTATCAAAATAAAATAAAATAAAAGAATGTACCGCAAGAATATTCTTATTTAAAAAACTCAATTAAATAGATGAAATTCTGTTTATTTGATATGTTAAGTATTTCATTGTTAATTTATTGCTAATTTACTAGTAGTATAAGTTTATTCGGTTTTTTTAATGACGTAATGCGAACTACGCCAGCATGCAACATCATGAATAGTGGGAATGAGCCATTTTCGGATTGACACGTGTACAGTTTATTTTAAGGCTGAGAAGCGTGTTGACGTCATCAGGATTAATTGATTATTACATGTTTGATAGTAATAGTAGCTTAATTCACGCAACAAACTTTATAGTAATAAAACACTAACCACGGTTATTAGTATATATTATTGTGGTAGACTTTTGTGGCTGACGTGGATCCCGATCAGCATTACTTCTAGATTTCGGCTGACATCTATTCACATTTAGGACAATCATTTCAATTATACATAATTACATAAACCATGATCGTCACGTTGTTTAATATTAAAAAATAAAATTAAATAAACCTATCTGCAAATAATTTGTTTATTCTACTTTAACTAGATTTTGCACTAAATGTCTATAGATAAAAAAAAAATCGTACGCCCTTTCACATTCATCAGAAGTTCTAATTACTCCATTGTGACTGCTTTTCTATTTTTCAATACTGTATCAATTTTACTTAATTTTTTTAAATAAATAGTTTTATTTTTGCTAAGTGACAAAAATTGAATTATAAAAAAAAGTTTTATTTTTTCAATTAAATGGGCTTGACTTTAAAAGTGAAAGGGACATGGGATCAAAAGATTAGAGTATTGCTAAGAGAATAATTTAATTACATGTTTAATTCCTTATTGCACATTTTTATATATATCATAATAAATCAAAAAATGAATTCTTTTTTTTTGTTTTTCTGTCTGTTTTTTTTTTTTTTTTTTGGTTTTTTTTAAGGCATAGTGTTATCGGTCTTTTAGAAAAGATTCAATATATATTTGGGCCTATAAAAATAAAAAAAACTAATAAAATTTTTAATTACGCCAATATTAGGGAAATAGTGAGCAATTATTGCATGGAAATTCGGGAACTTGGGCTAAAACTGGAAGAAGCAATATCGGAGAGTTTGGGCCTGGAAAAAGAGTATATAACAAACTTTGGGGGAACAAGGGCAACACATGGCAATTAATTACTATCCACAGTGCCCGGAGCCCGAATTGACATACGGGCTTCCGGCCCATACCGATCCAAACACACTAACCATTCTCCTTCAAGACACCCAAGTCACGGGCCTTCAGTTACTCAAGGACGGTAAATGGCTCTCCGTTAAACCCTTCCCCAATGCACTCGTCGTTAACGTCGGCGATCAGTTGCAGGTTGGTATATTCCGTCTTCTCTCCGTTAGTCGAATTAATTAATCTTAGAATAATTATAATTTAATTTGAATTAAATTTAATTTACGCAGGCGTTGAGCAACTCGAAATACAAAAGTAGTTGGCATCGGGCGGTGGTGAATGCACACAAGGCGAGGATTTCGATAGCGACTTTTTTGTGCCCGTCAAACGACGCCGTTATAAAAGCTCCGCGGGAACTGATTGAAGAAGAAGAAGAAGATTCAGAAGCAATATACAGAGATTACACGTATGCAGAGTACTACACCAAGTTCTGGAGCAGAAACCTTGACCAGGGCCACTGTTTGGAGCTTTTCAAAAATTAGTTTTATTTCCCTCTCATTTTTAAATAAATAATAATACTCAAATGTATTTCTGAATTTCAGTTAATTACAGTTATGTCCTTTTATCACTACTCTGGTTGTTGATCCAGCACTATCTCGCCACGTGGCATTTTTCTTTCTTTTTCTTCCTTTTTTAGTATATGCATCATCAGTACTTCATCACCATTACGTTTGATGATAAGCTCACTATTATTACTATTGAATCGTTTTAAAATTATATAATCTTATTCTGAAAACCAAACGAGACCTTAGAAAAAAAGACACGAAAAAGTGAGAACAATAATATGTCATACAACACTCACATTATTTTACTAGAAAAAGAAAAAAAAGGCATAAACTTTATTCATGACTAACAAGTGGGAAAACAACAAGAAGAAAATGCTCCAATTTATTTATTTGCTGTCTCATTTTCTTCTTTTTTTTTTTAAATTTGATTTTGTGGGAAAAAAACATATTATAATAAAAACACACAAAAACAAAAATAAAAATAAAAACTGAAAGGCGGAGTCCCGGCCCAAAATAGAATTGGGCTTAATTAGATGAATTATTTAAGCAGTTCCATAATCCATGAGCCATGGGCGCAGCAAACTTTGTGGAATTTGGTAAACCCAGCCCCATTAGCCAAAGCTTGAAATTCCTTTTCTGTCCTTTCCTTGCCACCTGGATTGTGGGCCAGCATAATGACGTCAACATGTACAGTGATCTGAGTGGCCAGCCCACTATCTGGGACCTCCGCCAAAATGCACTCCGCCAAAATCACTTTTCCATTTTCCGGAAGTGATTTATAGCAATTCTTCAATAATTTCACACAGTGCTCATCACTCCAGTCATGACAAATCCACTTCACCCAACAAACAAACAAACACCATTTTTTTATTTTTTTTTCAATTTATAATATTATTTATTTCGGAAATTTAAATAAAATGAAGCCCCCCCCACACACTATACATACCTTCATGAAAATTGCATCCCCTTTAGGCACACTCACAAACATATCCCCACCAGCATGCTCCACACCTGCATTATATTATTATACAACAAATTAAAATCAAACTCATCTCATTTCTAAAAAAAAAAGAAAAAAATAATTAATTAAACGGGCCGGGCCGAGCCTGGATAAGAGGGAGCGTCTTCAATAACGTGGGGGAGATCGAAATTGATGCCGCGAATAGAAGGATATTTTGAGATGATCATATTTAGTGTAGCGCCGGTTCCACCGCCGACGTCGACAACCGTGTCGAGGCCTTGGAAACCGTCGTACGTGCCCAGAATCTTCTTCATGATAATGGTGGAGTGATTAGACATTCCTTGGTTAAATACTTTGTTAAACCTAGTGTCTTTGCCATGGTACTCAAATGCACTCATTCCGTACGCCTTGTTGAATGGTATTCCTCCCTCTAGAACTGTATCTTTCAAGTGGTACCTATCATTATTTTAAATCAAATAAAATATATATTAAATTGTTTTTTTTTTTAATGCAATTTTATTCAAATGAACTTTCGTATTTGTCACATGTCTTAATAATTGGGGTAATTAGCTTTTGTTTAAGAATTATGGGAACCACAGGAGTAATGGTTGGTTGGTAGTAGGTAAGATAAGATCTGAGCCGTTGCATGCAACCTAAGTAATAAGGATAGATTACCAAATATATAATAGTGGGGCCCACCTTCTAGACTTTCTTAATTGATAATTTTATTCTTTTATAGTTTTTTATAGGGTAAATTACAATCACCCTGAGATATACTCAAATTACGAAAACCTCCCTCTTGTTTGGATAATTACAACCACCCCCTCAACTCCTCAAATTTAGTGAAATTTTCGAGATTATATGGACTATTATCACTTTTGTACCCGGTTTATCCCATTCGAACTCTACATTTTGAAGTAAGATGATCATAATACGTGTCTTTTGGCTTGTATATATCAAATTGTGGTGCATCAGAAACTATATTTTTACACAAAATGAGTACAAACTATAGCACATTCCACGAAATCTAAATGATTATGTTGAATTTGGCACCATAAGGGTGGAGGTGTAAGAAAAAATCATAGTTGAGTGGGTAGATGTAATTATCCAAACAAGAGAGGTTTTTTCGTAAATTGACCATACATCAAGGAGGTGTTTGTAATTTACCCTTTTTTATATTCAAATAAATGAATTAATTATTAATTCAATCAATTAAAATTAAAAAATAATAAGAAAAGACAATCGAATTATGTATATTATTTATTTCATCAATCCCAAAAAAAAAATATTTTATTTTATAATTCGCAAGAATTGAAAAATAAAAAAATAGAGTTTAATATGAATTTTTTGGAGGAAAAAATAAATGTAATAATTGAGAAGAAAAGAATAACGGAAATACCAGCTCTCCATGAGGATTTTGTCATGATTCATTAGCAGCAGAGGGGCCATAGAAACACCATCGTCGTTCTTTGTCAAGTACTTGCAAACCGGCGCCAGGGCGTAGAGCCGCTCAACGCCGCCGCCGCCGCCGGTGAGGGTTTTGAGGCTGCAGTTGAGTATGGAGTAGCTGGCGAGGAGGCGGAGGATTCTGTCAAGCATGACGTGGGCATCCGGGTTGGTGGTGGGGAGCTGGGCGGCGAGTTCCGCCGGAGAAACAAAGGCGCCGGGGCCGGCTTTCTTGATCAGCTCGAGCAAGTCGAGTTCAATGGCGGACTTGAGAACCATGGGCAGTAGGGAGGCGCTGGCCAGATTCAACGCAAATAATCATGTTTCTTCTTCTTCTGCCGCTGAATCCACCCTTGTAGAAACTTCCACAATTTTACCTGTTGAACCCATTTTCTCTGAAGCAATTAAATATTTTACTTTTTTTATTTATTATTTAATATTTTTATTATTTGCAAATATTTGAAGTGGAGAATTGTGAGTGGAGGTTGAGTGTGTAATGGAGAGGATTGGAAGTACTATATATGGCGGTTTTGGGTTCACCAACCTTGTGGTGTGGTTGCACCATGTGGGGGCCCCACCATTCATCAGTGGAAACTATCATCCAACCTTTTTATTTCTTTATTTTAATTTAAGTAATATAATAAACTAATCATTCAATGGAATTAATTGAGTATTTCATTTTAATTACATTGCTTGTCATGTTGGCATCCAATTTTTTTTTCATTACTAAATATTATTATGATTTCAAAAAATAACCAACCCTAAAAAAGGAAAAACAAAAGAAAAGAAAAAACAATTATCCTTGGCTAATTAATTGACTACATGTGACATGAATTGCACCAACTCCACACCAGACAGAGACTTGAGAATCATAAAATTCTAGAAAGAAACGTAAGCTCTAATATTGTACTAAAAGACGAAATATCCCGTCCCCCATCCCTTTATTCGATAAGTATTTGATGGAGGAATGTAAATTATGGCGACTCAACGGTCCGTTAAGATAACGGACCCGGATTTGGTGCCTACAAGAAACCAAACCTTGTTGAAATTGAAATTCTCACACTGCGGTCCGGATTTGGTGCCTACAAGAAACCAAACCTTGTTGAAGTTGAAATTCTCACACTGCGGTCCGGATCTGGTGCCCACAAGAAACCAAACCTTGTTGAAGTTGAAATTCTCACACTGTGGTCCAGATCTGGTGCCCACAAGAAACCAAACCTGAATTCGATCGTAAGACCATGTACCAACTTATCACCTCCATAACCAGTTGAGTTATTATACCCATGTGGGCCGTAAACTGTAATCTTTCTTTACCTAATCCATTGTCTTCCTCCTCCTCTTCTTCTACCTAATTTGGCACCATTGTTCCTCCACCGCTTCTTCTACCTAATTTGTCACCCTTTTTTTGTTTTTCCTCTTGTCTCCCCAAACAAGTACCTTTATGGGAGGTGTTTTTGGGTATTTTAGATGCTACACACTCGTGTGTAGGTCCAATCAAATATTAAGTGTTGTGTTATTATCTTGAAAATGGCGGTTGTTGAGCAAAATGCCAAAATCATGTAAATTCATTTTTGTCAATTATTATTTCTTTTATCTATCTGTGTGGGAATTGTGATGATTATAAAGTGGACCATTAGTAGAGAAATTTGGCACCATTGTCGAAAATAAAATAGATGATATTATTTCAAAATAACGCAACCGCCGGATTAGGAGGTTCTTGTTAATCCATCATCTCCAGATGTACTAATCTCATCTTTTTTTTTTCTTTTTCGAATTTTTTTAGAAAACAAATGACATCTTAAATGATGTCAATTGTAATTTGTAATAATATTTAATTTATAAAATATTCTTTAGGGCTGAAAAAAGGAATATTCTGCTAGCCATGACCTTAGAAAAAGGGCCCAGTTTTAGCTCTTAATTTGTTAAATAAATTAAATTAAATTGTCGGGCCCATGTTTATAAAAATATTAATTTGGACCAAAATAGCCCAAAGTAATTCCTTTTGGGCCGTCGAAATTCTTTATTTTGGGCCAAATTAGCCCAAAATAACTATTTGATTACCAATTTGAAAACCTCATGAAAGATCGGCCCGTTAAAAAAAAAAAAAAAAATTGTTCGTAATTCTGAACGTCTCTCCTTTGTTCTTCCCCCCTCTCGTCCGGAATTCCAATTTTCAAAATCGCAAAGTTCGAATTTTTATTCTCCTCTGTTTCAAATCCTAATAATAACAATAATAAAAAAAAATAAGAAACCCCTCATTTTACCAGGGTTTTGGTCGCTCGATAATGCCCGGTAATCGCGCTGCGAAGAAACGGAAAGTTCAGAAGGTCACTAAAATGGCGGAACCAGAAAGAGAAGTAATCGAAATAGACGATTCTAGCCCTTCACCCGATCGAACGGGCACTCCACTGAAACCCGTTTTCTGCCTGAAGAACAGGCACGAAATCGACAAGTTCGAGGAGAGTGAAGAGTGCTTCATTCTTGACTTTGACCCGTACGATGATGATTTAGATATCTTCAAACTCTCTCTCTCCAAGGGTTTCGACGATGCTTCCGAATTGAGTGTCGTTTCTGAAAAAGGGCAGGTGGTTTTTTCATTTTTGCCAATTTTAGTACATTTTTTCACTAATCAAGATTTGATTTTTATGTTCAGTTATATGCTAAATTGATGATTAGTTTATTAATTTTGTTATGATTTTTTTAACATTTATTTAAGGGTTTTGAATTTGAGTTGCTTTTTGATTCCATGAAAGTTATTCTTTTCGGATTTTTGCAATTTTAGTACCTTTTCACTAATCAAGATTTGATTTTTATGTTCAGTTATGCTAAAATGATTATTAGTTTATTAATATTGTTATAATTTTTTGACATTTATTTAAGGGTTTTGAATTTGAATTCCTTTTTGATTCTGTGCATATTCTGTCGGATTTTTGATTCAAATTCTTTACATGTGTGATCTCTTGAAAGTTATGGAAATATATAGGAATAAATATACGATTTATTTAATCTATTAAAGTTATCGACTTTAAAGATACTCGACATTTTATTATTTAAGTATTTAAGTCGCCTCCGTTTGTGGCACATGAAGTATCAAAATGTGGTTTTCGAAACTATGACAGTGTAAATTTCTGAACCAAATCGAAAGAGTTTGATTTTCTTCATACGTGTAAAAATGAGAATTTTAAATATGTAGTTTACAAGTTAATCTCTTGTGTTAAAAGCTTACTACCATATCATTTATGTTAATTTTTAATGATGTGATGAAATTGGACAGGTGGCGTGCAGAGATTATCCCCACCCGAGGCACAGCTGTGCAAAATATCCATTTGCGAAGACAACTCATGACAAACACTGCAAATTGGTAACTTATTTCGTTTATATTTGATCCGTTTAATAAAGGTACTAACGTATTATTGCTTGCACTTGTTATTTGCAGTGCTACTGTTATGTTTGTGATTTATCCGCACCTTGTCCAAAGTGGAACGGTTCGTCTGGTCATTGCCATGCATTTAACA